AGAGGATTTATTCTGTTGTTATTTTGCTAATTTTTACTTTTTGTTTTTTTCAGTCTTTGGCCAAGGCTGAGTTTGAACCTGCCACCTCCAGCATATGGGGCCAGTGCCCTACTCCTTTGAGTCACAGGCGCCACTCTATTTTGCAAATTTTTAAATGTGCATACTCAGTTCATAGAGCTGCATTAAGGCTATGCATTTTCCTCTTAGCACTACTTTAGCTGCATCCCTTACATTTTGATGTGTACTATCATCATTATTATTTGGTCCTTAGGTCTTACCTAATTTATATTTAAAATATTATGAATTATTCATTATCCCATAAATTATTGAGAAGAGGGCTTTTCAGTGAAGGGAATTTATTCTTTCTCCTGGTTGCTACATGTCTCATCTATCTTCTGGAAAGGGACCCTAGATTCTTATGGAGATCAAAGCACATAATCCTATGTGCTTCCTAAGAGAAAAAAAAATCTATAGTAAATCCAAGAGATCAGGCCTCAAGATGAGGACTGGTCCAAAGGTTTCCCATAAAATCCTCTGGTCTCCCATCCACACTCCCTGTGTTCCATGTACCTCAGCCTTAGGAATGGAAACAAGGCCTAATACCCACCTCATATTTATCCTCATTCCCTGATTTAAGTATTTCAACTATACATCTCAGTGGCCTAAATCAAAGTCTCATTTATAGATGGATGCAGATGGAAAAGGTACCCAGAACCCTAAATAGAATGATCACTATTGTCCTGTTTCTTTTTCTTTTCTTTTTTTGAGACAGAGTCTCACTTTATTGCCCTCTGTAGAGTGCCGTGGTGTCACACAGCTCACAACAACCTCCAACTCCTGGGCTTAGGTGATTCTCTTGCCTCAGCCTCCCAAGTGTCTGGAATTACAGGTGCCCGTTACAACACCCAGCTATTTTTTTTGTTGTTGCAGTTTGACCGGGGCTGGGTTCAAACCCACCACCCTTGCTATATGGGGCCAACGCCCTACCAGCTGAGCCACAGGTGCTGCCCCTATTGTCCTGTTTCTTAAGTGCAAACTGCTAAGCTGCTAATCATCTGTATCTCATGTTATTCTCCAACCATCCTCTAACCTGGGTAACTGTGCCCATTTCACAGATGAGGGGTTTGAGATCAGGGAGTAAAGTGGCTCAAGGTTGCAGGGAGGGTGACTAATATGACTCAGGCCTCCTTAGATTCCTAATGGTCCTCATCTTTTGTCCTCCGGAAATATCATTGCCTGAATTTGGCATTCCACTCCCAATCCTGGGGGCTCTGCCTTGAATGAAGCCCCCTATGCTAACACAAAGATGAGACAAAGGAGCCAGACTGACGTGGCTTCAAATCCCAGCCCTGCTATAGACTTGCCAAGTGAGCTTGGATGAACGACTTCCTTTCTCTGGCCCTGGGATCCCCACCTATAAAGTGGGGCCTCCCAGGGAGATATCAGTTGGGCCAGATGGTGACAGGAATATTCTGAATATCACTGTATTGTCATCCCCACAGGATGTCAGCCTGCACTGCCCAGAATCAAGAGTTGCAGAGGAAAGTCTTGCACCTCGAGAAGCAAAATCTGTGAGTGTGGGTCTAGCCAGAGCAAAGGATGGGGGAAATAGGCCCAGAGTATCTTGTAGGAGAGTGGGGATAAAGGGCAGAGAGCCCACGTGGTGCAGGAAGAAGCAGGGAATAAGGTCTCTGTCTACAAAGGAGGCAGGCTGCACCTATAGGAGGGGATTTAGACTTGGGGCCTTGAGGATGTGTAAAGAGTTAAGTAGGAAAAAGTGGTTCTGGTAGAGGAAATGGCTCTGGCAATGCCCAGAGGCTAGAAGCATGGTGGCTGGAGAATTGCACTGATCCTAAGGGGCACATCCATTCAGTAAATGTTTATTTTGCATTTACTGTGTACCAGGACAGAAAGGGGATGGAGCAGGTTATGCAGGGTCTTGTGGGTCCTGGAGAGGACTTGGGCTTTTACCTTAATTACTAGGGGAATCCTGAGTGGGTTGTGAGAAGCCAATTCACATTTGAAAAATACCCTTTGGCTGCTGTGTGGAGTTTGAACCCATTGGAGGGAGGGAGCAGAAGAGGCTTTGTTGGGACCAGACAGGGGTCTGGGGCTGACATCCAAGAGAACAAAGATGAAGGCGGGTATGGGAGAGGGTGGTGGAGAAGTGGGTAAAATGTCTGACAGGGATTTGTAGAGGTGAAGAGGTAAGATCTAGAACTTCCAAGAGCAGCAGGGGGCCAGGCAGTGGGTCATGCCTGTAATCCCAGCGTTAAGGGAGGCCAAGGTGGAAGGGTTGCTTGAGCTCAGGAATTCAAGAGCAGCCTGGGCAACATAGTGAGACCCTGTCTCTACAAAAAAATTAAAAATTACCCGGGCATGTTAGCTCATGCCTGCAGTACCAGCTACTTGGGAGGATGAGGTAGGAGGATCCCTGAGCCTAGAAGTTTGAGGTTACAGTGAGCTGTGATGATGCCACTGTACTCCAGCCTGGGTGACAGAGCAAGACCCTGTCTTAAAAAATAAATACATAAAAATCAGCAAGGTCTAGTTAGTAGGATGGATGGAATTCAGACTTCAGTGGAGCTGGGAGACCACAGAAGTGGGCAGGCAGCAGGACCAGGACTATACATGTAGGGCTCACTCAAGGGCTGCTTGTCCCTCTAAGGTCCCTCTTGGAGCAGCTGAAGAAACTCCAGGCCATTGTGGTCCAGTCCACTAGCAAGTCTGCCCAGACAGGCACCTGCATAGGGGTGAGTCCTGGCCCCAAGGGTGGATGGGAGCCCTGGGCCTTGGCAGAGGAGCCCATGGGGAGGTAGGTGATCATGGCCTTATGCTTCATGCATGCACAATTGGCCATTATGGCTCCAGTTTCTCTGCCTGTGAGATGGAGACGCTCAGAAGGAGTGGGGAGGGATGGGGTGACCCCACCCCCATCTCTGCCAGGTCCTGCTGCTCTCTTTCGTCCTCATCATCCTCCCCTCCATCAGCCCTTTCACCTCCAACAAAGCCGAGAGCCCCGGGGACTTCGCACCCGTCAGAGGTAGGAGCCCTGCTTTCAAACCCCTACTGTGGCTGCACCATGGGCACAAATCCTTTTGGCTCCCCAAGTTCCCCATGAGCTGGGGGGAGCCCTGTTCCCCTGTTTCCCAAGGCTGGGGGCTAGAGAAAGGCAGGACTCCACCCTTACCCCCTCCGTCATGGTTCCCCTTATCCCCATCAGTCTTCTCCAGAACTTTGCACAACGACGCTGCCTCCCGCGTGGCCCCCGATGTCGTGCCAGGCTCCGAGGCCTCAGGACCCCAACCCGAGTCTGGCCTGCTCCACAAAGGGTCTCCAGACAGCCCCAGGGTGGATTGGGGCTTCCGGGACACTCTGGTGCTAGGCAATTCCACAGAAGAGCTGGACAATTCAACCTTGGTCTTGGGCAACTCCACGGAGCAGCTAGGCCGGCCCACCCTGTTGGACTGGGTGGCACCTGAGTCAGTGCTGAGCCCGGGACTCACAGGGCTTGAGGTAGTGGGGGATGAGCTTTGAGCCCTGCTGGAACCTTACTCCCTGGCCCCCTGCCAAGGGCAGCTTTGGGGATGCTGCAGTGGACAATGACAGGCCCGAAGATAAGGAAGTGAGGCAGAGACCCTGGCGCAGGATACCAGGATGGGGAGGCACAAACTCACAGCCACACACCCAGGGACTGACTGAAGCCACTGCAGACACAGGGCAAAGGTTGAGCTTCTCACAGAGCAAGTGCACAAGGAAACAGGCATTGTAAACAGCCTGAAACAGACCCAGACAGATACAGAGAGATACAGACAGAAACAGACCCAGACAGATACAGATACAGACAAAACAGGTGCCTCAGTGATCTTTTCCCCAAGTCTCCTCTCTGCCTCCCTCGCATGTGGGGAGGAAGAAGAAACTGCGAAGATTTCAGAGACCCTGGCCCCAGGGTCATATTGAGGGCCATGGCCAACTAACTTTCCCCCTTTTCTAAGACTGCCTGATCCTTAATAAAGTATTTTGACAGAACATTGTTCTGGTGCAGAGGCGGAGTCGGGTGGGGGTTAGAGTGGAGTCTGCTTCCCCCACCCCCACCCCCGTCCCGCCATACTCCAGAAGGCTGGGAGAGTAAGGCGAAGGGCAAGATTCTCGGGCTGAACAGTGACCCGCGAGGCTCCAGGTGCTGCTTCAGCACCTTGGAGAGCGGCGGAGCTCTAGGAGGGGCACGGAGCCCTGGATGAACACAGGAAGGCTTTTCTAGCGCCTCCGCAGCGGCTCCCTGGGGGTGGTTTAAAGCCTAAGAAAACCGAGGCTTTCTAAGTGCAGTGAGGGCCCAAGGACATAGGCTAGGGAGGGATGAAACCTGGGCTATACCCAGGTGACAGGGCTGCAATTGAACCGAAAACACGTGGCCTCTCATTAAGGGGCTCACAGCCTAGGGGCAAATGTTAACAACAATAACAAAAAAACACATGCAAATAAGAATATAACTATTAGTTGAGTGCTCAAGAAATGCCAGCTTCTAGGCGGCACCTGTGGCTCAAAGGAGTAGGGTGCTGGTCCCATATGCTGGAGGTGGTGGGTTCAAACCCAGCCCCAGCCAAAAATTGGAAAAAAAAAAAAAAAAGGAAAAAAAAGAAATGCCAGCTTCTCGGGATGGAATAAGGGTTGCTAAAAAAATAATAATAGTTCTGTAACTCAGTGGCTAGGGTGCCGGTCACATACACCCGGGCTGGCAGGTTCAAACCCGGCCCTGGCCTGCCAAACAATGACAATTATGACAAAAAAAATAGCTGGGCATTGTGCCTGGCTCTTATAGTCCCAGCTACTTGGGAGGCTGAGGCAAGAGAATTGCTTAAGCCCAAAAGATTGAGGTTGCTGAGAGCTGTGATGCCACAGCACTCTACCGAGGGCGACATAATGAGACTCTGTCTCAAAAAAAAAAAAAAAATTCAGCTGCTAGTATAGTCATTAATATCAGAAAACTGGCCTCCCTGGCCTGACCCCTCTGGACCTCCCTAAGGGATGAGCACTCCTTCCTTGACCTCCAGGTCCCCAGGCTGTTGGGTGAGAATTTCAACAGAGGCACAGGCAGACGTCTCCAGGGGTGAGAAGACCATTCAGTCCTGCCTCCAGGCATAAGGACCTGGCACAAGTCAGGAGTTAAACATACTCAGATGTATGGAAGTTGTTTTTATTGCATTGAAGACTTTTCTGGAAGCCTGGAGGAAGCTGGGTAGACCCACCTCTCCCTCCCTCCATTCTGCAAGGCGGTGCAAACCTCTATTGTGTGTCCCACTTGGAGGTGTGGTTCCCCTCCCAGAGGGCCCACAATGTCAACTCTGGGGAGGCAGCCCAAGAGCCAGGACAGGGTGGGCGGAGTAAGGGGTCCAGACAGAAAGCCCAGGGGACAGAGAGAGCTCCTTCTTGTTTAGGCTAGAAACCAGGGAGGGCGCAGCCATGCCTCCCAGAACACCCTGAGTCAGGCTGGGTGCTGGGGCAGACAGCATGTGCCTGGGTGACAGCTCCAGAGTGTGACTTTCCCAGGCCCCTACCAGAGGCCCAGTCTGACATTGGCTGTCAGTGCCCTGAGGTCCCCAGAGGACAGATATGTGTAACAAAGTGAGACCATAAGGAAAAAAGAACCCATGGTTTCTACAAAAAGCCCCTCCCTCCCCAAGCACCCTAGTCAGCTGGGAGCTGCCTCAGCCTTCAGCCTTTTGGGGGGCCTACAGGGGGCAGGGCTGTCTGGCTGCTCCTGTTTGGGGGTGGCAGGCTCAGGGCCATTGTGCTGGGTGCAGGGCTCAGTTGTGGGCTCCTGCTTGGCGTCATCAAGGAGTGTGCCGTTGAGCTGGGCAGGGTGGTCCTCCTTGGGCTCAAGTTTGGGGTAGGGTGGGCGGGGCAGGGGTGGCAGGGCCCTCTCTAGCACATGGGGGCCATCCCAGTTGGGAATCTCCAGCCCCAGGTGCTTCATGAGCTGGGTCATGACCTCGTCAACATAGCCGTGGATGCGCAGGTCAGCCTGGCGGTCCTGTGGGGAAGGGGATGGGTCAGGCAGGGGCAGAGGGTGCACAGAGGGGAAAGCAGGGCAGGGGTGGGTTCGGGCACGCACGTGCTTGGTGGGCTGGAGGTTAACGATGACCAGTCGGCCTCCTCGGCGCTTGGTTGCTAGTGGCAGATTCCCGCTGGGCCGGATCTGCAGCGAGGTGCCCAGGGTGATGGACAGGTCAGCATTCCTGGGGCCGGGATTGTGGGCTTAGTCCAACCACTCCCCAGCCTTGGCCCTACCAATACTGGAAGCCAGCCAGAGGGCCCAGCTCACATCACCTCTGCTCACCTAGGCACTCAAGCCTGGCCCGCTCCTCACCCAGACCCCCACTTCTGTTGGCAGAGTCATTGACCTGGGGCCTCATGGCTTGGTAGAGAGCTTAGACCCATGGGTTGGAATCCCAGCTCACTCACCTCCTAGCTGGGTAGCACAGGACAGAGGAGTCACTTAGATAAAGCCTCAGCTTCCTCACCTATAAAATCAACCTCATGGAGTACCCACCTAGAGCCATGAGGTGAGGATGGTGCATGTGTGCAACACCTGGCTCCACCACCTCCTCCAGGAACCCCTCCCTGAACATGTCTGCACCCTGCCCTGTGCCAGAGCTGCCTATGTTTCTGCTCATCTCCCCCGCAGAGGGTCAGACCTGCTGGCCTCATCTGCAAGAGCCAGGTCCCGGTCAGGCAGAGCATCTTCCCAGTCCAGGATTGTGTCTCTCAGCTCCCCCCTGTGAGGAGGAAGGCAAGGGGTGGTATAGCAGCCCTGCTGCTGCCCTCAGGGTCCAAGGCTTGGAGAGGGGTTGCTCACCTGCAGGACCGCAGCCCTCTTGCCTTGGCCACTGTGCAGAGCCGACCTGTGGCCTTGAGGCCCATGCTGCCTACGACTGTGTCCCGGACATACTGCCTGTATCAGGGTAGAAAATGGGGGACAGGACTGAGTCAGCCTGCCTGGTTGAATCTTACATTTTTTCTGGAAAGCATTCTCCCAGGGAAGTAGGGGATGAGGGTACACAACCAGATCTAACCACAACAAACCCGAAACAAGGAATACTTGGTGAAACCGGTGGCCTGCATGCTGCAAAGGATCAACAGCACAGAACAGGCAGGAAACTGTCCCCTACAAAGGTGCTCAAGAGATTGGATCCCATAGGTGTGGTGGCTTATGCCTGTAATCTCAGCACTTTGGGAAGCTGAGGAAGGAGGATCACTTAAGCCCAGGAGCCCAGCCTGAGCAAGAAAGAGACACTGTCTCTACAAAAAATAGAAAAATAAGGCAGGGTGGTGGCAGCAGTAGTTCCAGTTACTTGGGAGGCTAAGGCAGGAGGATTACCCGAACTCTGGGGTTGGAAGCTACAATGAGCTATGATCATCCCACTGCACTCGACCCTGGGTAACATAGTGACACCCTGTCCCTATTAAAAATAATAATAATTCTGACATAATTCAACCCACAACAGGGTCTGATCTCCCACTCTGAGAAGAATAGACCCTCCTCAGAGCAGGTAGGTTCTGGGTGTGTCTCCCTGTTTCTGTTAGCGCCTGCAGGTGTGAGCATCTGTTTCTCCCCTGTAGGAGATGTCTCTGAGGCCAGACTATAGGTGGGATCCTCTCTTTAAAAAATTTTTCTCTAAATTTATTTTGAAAAATTTCAAGCCCATAGAAAACTTACAAGAACAGTATTGGCCTCAAAAAGATCTTTTTATTTTTGAGACAGAGCCTCAAGCTGTCACCCTAGGTACAGTGCTGTGGCATCACAGCTCACAGCAACCTCCAACTCCTGGGCTCAAGCAAGTCTCCTGCCTCTGCCGGGCTGGATTCGAACCCGCCACCTTAGGTGTATGTGGCCGGTGCCTTACTCGCTTGAGGCACAGGCGCGGAGCCTTTTTTTGGGGTCAGGATTGGGTTTGAATCCACCACCTCTGGCGTATGGGGCCGGTGCCCTACTCCTTGAGCCACAGGCGCCACCCTAAAATGATCTTAATGGTAGGAAAGGGTTGAAGTTGTAACCTCAGGGATTCAGAATGTGACCCTTACTGGAAACAGGGTTGTTGCAGATGTGGTTAGCTCAGGTAAGGTTCAGTGGAGCCAGTAGACCCTTATCCAGTGCTTGATGTTTTTATGAGGAGACACAGAGGCACACAGAGAAGTTGTCTCCATATGAGGATGGAGACAAAGCTGAAGCCAACACCAGAAACTAGAGAGAGGCAGGAAAAATTTCCCCCTATGGCCCTGTAGACACCTGGATTTTGGACTTTTGGCCTCCAGAACTGTGAGATAATTTTTATTGTTTTAAGTTAGTCATTTGTAGTATTTATTATGGCAGTCCTAAAAACATCTCCCTGGGAGGCCACACCCATCCTTCCTCATATGCTCTGGGTCTTTGCGTCATCAGATTTGAGTCCCAAGACCCTTTTGCAGAGCCCACCCTGGTCACACAGTGCACCAGCCTGGGGGTAGTGTGGCCAAGCCCTCATTCCACCCAGGTGATACTCACGTCTTACACTTGATACATTCTTCTACAAACATGTTCCCATGGAGCTCGGCCAGCTTATCCCTGTGGGAGGACAAGGAAGAGGGTTAGTAATGGGGAGGGTTTCCCAAATCCCCAGGCCTCAGGCCTCAGTAAGCTGCCTCTTCCTCCAAGAAGCCTTCCCTGATCTCTTATCCACAAGACCCACCAAATTCCTCTTTCCAGCTCTTCCAGCTCCTATGTACATGCTGTACACTTCTGGGCAGGTGGCCCAACCTTGCCGAGACTTAGGGATCATGAACCCTTGAGGCCAACCCCACCTTCGCAAATGGGCAGCCCAAATCTCTCACAAAATGCTTGCCCTACTCCTCCATAATAATTCTAATTCCCAGTTTGCAATGGAAGAAATTGAGGTTCCAGGTGGCTCCAGAGCATGGGCTTTGGAGGCAGAGGAACATGATATCATGTTCCAGCTTTGTTGCCTACCAGCTGTGTGGCCTCAGGAAGGTTACCTAACCTCTCTATACCTCAGTCCTCATCTGTGAAACGGGAAAACAATGTCCTCACCTCTTGGGATGTTTTGAGGAATCAAATTATCAGGCCTGGCAGGCTCTTCCCCAAGACTGCCTGGTCATCTTCCCTGCACTTGAAATGTCACTTCCATAGACAAGCCTTCTCTGATTTCCCTGTCAAAAACTGCAACTCCCTTCCCATCCCCACTCCCTGCTGCATTTTTTTTAACACAAAATTGAATTTGCTTATTAATTTTGTTTTCTGCCTGTTTCCCCTCAACTAAAGGGTAAACTCCAGGAGGGCAGGGATTCTTATCTCTCTGCTTCACTCTGTAACCTTCCTCCAGAATAATCTGAGGCATGCAGTAGGTGCTCAATATATAAAGAAATAAGTGTGGCCCATTTTGCTCTTGTCTGCACACAGATGGGGCTGAGAGTGTGGAACCCCTTCTTTCTTTCTCTCTCTCACATCCCGAGACACAACCCTGTGGGCAAACAAAACCATCCTTGGGTGTCTCCAAGTTCCTGACAAAAGCCCTAATCTCATGTGCCAAGGAAATGTATTTGCTGCAAGGTAGAATGTTTGCTTTCACTTCTAGAGATGTCCATTCAGGTCATAAGAATTAGTTAGATCTGTAACCATTGGTCTAGTTAATTACTCTGATCTTTCTAAGATCTCAGAGACAGAGAAAGGTATTAACCTGTTGAAATGGAAGACATCCCAGAACTTTGCTAAAGCAGCAGGTAGCAGGAACTACCTGGCTCCTAGAGAAATGTATTTCTTATGCCAAAGGATATTTGAGGAAGAAATCCTCAGGACCCTAACAAAAGTCCAGCTATTTGGGAGACAGGTAGAGAAAAAAACATTCCAGAAACCAAATTGCATAGTGACAGCAACCCCCTTCCCATACTCCCATAAATCCTCAGGACCTTGACAAGAGTATAGCCATCCTGGGAGGACAGCTAGTGATAGAAAGCAGATCAGAGACCAAATGACATGGTCACAGCAACCCCTTCCCCACCCTCCTGAAATGCTTTAAGGTCGGTGCTCCTGGGAAGCATCAGAATCTCCTACCCTGGTCCTGGCTGGCAGTAGAGATAAGGCCTTCATGCAAGATGAACACCTTTTGTGGAGGGCAGTAATTCTAAAATCAATCTTGGACACAGCATCATTCACTCTGCAGGAAAGATGACTTCCCTTACCTTTCATGATCCCCTCCCATATTCCAACTACACTAATATAAGTCTCTTGAAACTGGGTAAGCTGAGCTGGCTTCTGGTCAGACTCCATTCTATTCCTTTAAAGTAAAGCCTATCCTTAAACCCTGAACTGGCCTCTTCTCTTGCTTGCAGACCCTGGCCAGACTCTGTCCCTAAACCTCTCAGGATTAGCATCAGGACTCAGGCCCATCTTGAGAGAAAAAGGGGTCAATAGTTTCCTTCCCCTTTATAAGCAGGAAAAAAAAAAGCCCTCTTCTTTGTCCCTCACCAATGGAGTGTCCAGCTACTCATATAAACAACTGACCTGGCTCTCATTGGTTACCCCAGGGGTGAGACCTGGCAAAAGTGGGGCAGTGGAGGGTCACACTTAATATTAGGAAATCAGTCTGCCCCAGGACACAGTGTTCATATTCAGTATAAAGTGAAGAATATTAGAAACCTAATAAACTACACATTCGAGACCCTGACTACTCTCCCTGCCACCCTTGATGTTCTCTTAGCCTCACCTGGAGGAAGATTCTGCTTCTGGTCCTGGCAGAGACAGCTCTGGGCCATAGGGCTCAGGAATCCCCACCAACTGGTCAAGAAAGATCCAGAGAGCTCAGGGCTGGAATCTCCCAGCAGCAGGAAAAGGAGACCCCCAAAGCTCAAGATATGTGCATGAGGTGGGACAAAGATGGTTCTGGCTTGTAGAGCCCCACTGAGCCACAAGTGCTTTCCAGGGCTGCCCAAGGTAATGCTGGGCTGGAGCCCAGGTCTCCGTGGGGATAGGACAGGGTGTGCGTGTTACCTGGGAAAGCCAGAGCGCACATGCAGCCCATCCACGTTCTGGCTGATCAGGAAGCGGAGAAGGCCTACACGCTCCAGCTGTACCAGAGCCATGTGGGTCAGCGTGGGCCGTGCGCTCTCAAAGGTGGTGTCAAACTTGGGGGCCAGGCCCCGTTCTTCCATTGTCCAGACTCCATGGGGGCCCCTGAAGGCAGCAGGAGGGGAGCAATAGAGGATGAGGGAGAGTTTGGGGGAACAAGGAAAGAAGAAGGAAAAAGATAGAATCAGGGATAAGAGACAGAGAGAGAGGAGGGCAGAATCAGAGAGAATCAGAGACAGAGAAAGAGAGATAAGAGAATAGAGAATATGGTAAGTGAACCCCAATACATAGCCATACACCGTTAGCCTAGATGAAAGACTAGCCTCCCTAGCAAGTAGGTCTGATCAAGTGACTAAGCTTTGGCCAATGGTTAGTGGAATGGTAGATGTAGCTTCCAGGGACACATCTGAAAGGGAAGGATGTTGCCCCCCCTAATACCCAGGATACCACCAGGAAGAAGGCAGCAGGATGGGTTCCAGTGTTCAGGTGTTTGTTGCCCACAGGGAAACCCCTGGCAGTATGGTGGGCCCTGTCTGGACATCTCCTCCATGCCCACAGACCTGAAGTCGGGGATGCCCGAGGCGGTGCTGATGCCGGCGCCTGTGTGGAACACCACATTGGAGGACTGCCAGACCAACCTTGCCAGCTCCCGCACCTTCCACTCCAGCTCCTCTGGGGGGTCAAAGATCTGTGGGATGACATCGCACAAAGGAGGCATCAAAATATGTCCCCAAGTGGCAAGGCCATGTACAAGCCACAGACTGAGCTGTCTTTGCTTTGCTGCATGAGAATGGATTGGAAAGGCAGTTGTCCTCATGTCCCTCCTTTGCCCATAGCCCTCCATGGTTCCTACCTCCCTCTTGGTCAAAGCCCAAGTCCTCCCTGCAGTCCACCAAGTCCCGCGTGACCGACTCTGTCCCCTCTTGTCCTTGCCTTCTCCTCTCCCTTTATCCCCCTTGTTTATTCTCCTCCAGCTACATGGGCCTCCTCGCTGTGCCTCCAACATGCCAACAAGGCTGCGCTCACCTCGGGGAGGTGTGGTCCTCCACCAGGGCCTTTGCACAGGCTGTTTCCTCTACCTGGCACACTTCCCACATGACTCCCTCCTTCATCTCCTTTAGGGTTTGGCTAAAATGTTACCTTAGTGATGCCAACCCTCCATCCCTGCCACCTGGTTTCAATGCACGCCCTGTTCTGTCTCCCCACTAGAATGAGGGGCTTTTGTCTGTCTGTCTTCCAGTTGTGATCCTAGAACCTAGAAAGTGCCCAGCCCACAATAGGTGCTCAATAAATGTGAAGTAAAGTGAACAAAAGCTGCAGTGGAGAGCAGGACTTCTGGAAGGATGTACACCACTGGACCTTTTTTGTTGTTGTTTTTCTTTCCAGACAGAGTCTTGCTTGCTCTGTCACCCTGGAGTGCAGTGGCTTGATCATAGCTTGCTATGGGCTCCAAATCCTGGCTTCTAGCAATCCTCCTACATAGGCCTCCCTGCCTAGGCCTTCCAAAGTGCTGGGATTACAGGTGTAAGCTATCATTACAAGCCATCAGAGGTGATACAATGCATGACTCAGAATGCATGATGGACTAGCCTTTATGAAACTGGGGCAATCTTTGCCTCCAGTTTGCAAAGAGATGGGACCTAAAAGGGAAGTGACACCCCTAAGTCCCACAGTATATGGAGGGGACGGTCTGTCTCTCCACTCCCCTATAAGTAGTTGGAGGGATCTTTATGGCACCAAGACAAGGCCCATCCCCAGCTCACAGGATAAAGTGTCAACTCCTCAGCCTGGCATTTGAATCCCATCCTGACCCAGCTCTGGAAATCTCCCCGGCCTAATTTCTCTCCAAGTGTGTTCATTCCCACGTCCCAGCCTTTGCTCCTGCCGCTTCTTTCTCCTTGATCTACATCTCCCTTCTCACTCCTCAACACTTCAGGCTTTCCCTCTGTATCAGCCTCATAGCCCCAAAGCTGGGCGTGTCCGCGTTCCCTGTCGCGCACAGGGGGCGTCACTTCCCGCCCCCTCCTCACTGGGAAGTCCCTCCCATTGTCTAGCCTCAGTGTCTCTTGCTATTCCCACAATGCCCTGCTGCCGTACGGTCTTTCCCAGCCCGCCGTTCTGTGGGGTGACCTCTGGGACCCCCGGCCGCGCTCACCTCTGGGAGGCCGCACTTTCCCTTGTCAGCATACGGCGACAGCCCGGCCGCGTAATTCACCGACATCCTCTCAGAACCAACAGGAACAATAAAGTTTCCCTTGTTGAGGCTGCTTCCGCCGGAAACGGGGCGGGACGGGGTAAAGGAGGAGCCTTGGTCCTGATCCACAAGTCCTGCCTCCCGCTCCAAGGCGCACGCGCCCCTTGCTGACGCCACCGACGCCGTATTAACTGCTGGCAGGGAGCAGTCCAGTTGCTTCCGTATATTGGCTGGTCTGGGAAGTGGCCGCCCCCTGACGCGGGAGGGAAATTGGGGTGGCAGTCCACGTGAGCAGTCTGCTGTCACTTCTGAAATGAGGGACATAGAAAAAATATATATATAAGAAAATAAAATGAGGGACACACGTGATCACTGTCCCCTAGTCCCTTTTTACAGATTAGTAAACTCCATTAGAACAGTGCGTAAATCATGTACATTTTTTTCTTTAATAAAACTTGCTAGAGCTTGTTTAAAAAAAAAAAAAAAAAGAACAGTGCCAGAGGACAGGAACCCAAGACTCCCGTCCAAGGAAGGGCCCTGAACGCTGCCCTAAGTCATCTGTACATTATTCAGGCAGGTGATCTGGATTCAGTATGACAGGTACTACTCAAAGTTATTGAGGCTAGTGGGCTTGAGGGCTCATTTAAGAAACACGTATTGTGGGGCGGTGCCTGTGGCTCAGTGGGTAGGGTGCTGGCCCCATGTACCGAGGGTGGGTGGTTCAAACCCAGCCCCGGCCAAACTGCAATAAAAAAAAATAGCTGGGTATTGTGGTGGGCACCTGTAGTCCCAGCTACTCTGGGAGGCTGAGGCAAGAGAATCGTCTGAACCCAAGAGCAGAAGGTTGCTGTGAGCTGTGATGCCACATCACTCTACTGAGGGTGATAAAGTGAGACTCTGTCTCTACCAAAAAAAAAAAAAAAAGGAACACGTATTGAGCACCTCCTGTGTACTGGTGTCTCTGGGGAAGAAAAGCGTTACCATCCCTTCCCTGTGGCTGGCGATGGACACAAATATGCGACCAGGAAATGGTGATAGAGTGCGATTGGAGTGCAGTTGGGGACGCAGAGAGCTCAGAGGAGACACCTGAGCCAGGCTGGGACATCTGGGAAGATTTCCTGCAGGAGAGGATATTTCAGCAAAGATCTGAAGAATGGGTAGGATGAAGAGAATGGGCTGGCTGGGGGGTGACATGAATTACAGAAAGAATGTTCCTGTTGAGAGAATAGCGAATGCAAGAGCTGGAAGGAGGTGAAGATCATGGCTCCTTCCAGAAGCTGTGATCAGTTCCAAGATGACAGGGAAGAGTGTCAGTGTCTTCCCGCCAGAGCCCATCGGCCAACTAGCAGTCCAGCTGCCAGCCTGTCTCCTCCCTTGGCTCATCCCCGGCCCCCTGGGGCAGCCGCCCAGCCTGCCTGCTCTGAGCTGATCAGGTGTCAGAGCAGAGGAGCGCTGGGAGCTGCTGCTGAGAGCTCATAGCTCATCTGGGAGAGGGTAACTGGAGTCAGCACTGAGCAAGGTGTCCTGGTGGTTGGGGCACTGGAGCCGCAGGAGGTAGGAGTAAGGAGTTGGGGGAGGCCTGGGATGGAGGCTCCCCTTAGGTCCTCAGGCCCCTGAGCCCTATGTGTGGGAGAAAGAGAGGCTGGTGCTGGATCAGCCACACTGAGGAGCTACCCAGGAACCCCAAGACACACATACGTTCATGCACACTCTTTCCACTTGCCAGCCTCTGCCATGCCTAGACTACATACCCTCCTTTCCTGCCACTGGGGCTCAACATCCAGCTGGGCTTCAGGCCCTTCTCATTTACCATCATTTCTTCCAGCAAGTAGCTACCCAGCATTTCCCCCTCCCCCAAAGCCCATGGGTTCTCTCCTCCTTATGCAACCTGTGGGCTCTTCTCTTGGGTGTCTTCTTACACCCTGCTATGGGTGTGATTGAGTTCGTTAGTAAGAGGTAGAAGAAAAAGGGCAGGGTGGGTAGTGAGTGAATAAGTACATTGACTGGTGGAGGAGAGAATGAATGGATAGAAGAGTAGATGGATGATGAATGACTAGATAGATGGATGGATAGTCAGTGGGTGGGTAGGGGGATGGGTGGATAGATAGAATGGTAGTTAAATGGATGGGTGAGTGAATGGACGAAGGGATGGATGTGTGGGAGCTTGGATGGATTGATGAGTGGGTGGTTAAGTGGGTGGTTAGATGGGTGGGTGAATAGATGTATAAATAAATGGATGGATGTATGGATTATAGACAGATAGGTGAGTGGGTGGATGGGTTGGTAGATGGATGGATGGATGGATGAATAATGGGTAGATGGGTGGTTGGGTGGATGGGTGGGTGGATGATGTGTGGATCATGATTGAAGGGTGCTGAACCATGAGAAGATGAATTAAGTGAGAGAATTGGTGGGTGGTGGCCAGTGGGTGGGAGGCTGGAGGCCTTGGTACTTGTGTGGTAGATGGGTGGAAAGGTAGCTTGGAAATTCATAGGTAGGTGGATAGGTAAAAGGACATCTTACCTCCACTCTGTGGTAGGAGGTAAATAAGGACACTCAGTCACAAAGATTCCTTTTAAACCTAGGGGCCCCCAATCACACACCTCAAAAAATACCTCCTTTAGGCTCTTGCCTGTAGCTCAGCTGCTAGGGCACTAGCCACATACACCAGTGCTGGTGGGTTTGAACCTGGCCCAGGCCTGCCAAACAACAATGACAACTACAACAAAAAAATAATGGGTGCCTGTAGTCCCAGCTACTTGGGAGGCTCTGGCAAGAGAATCGCTTAAGCCGAAGAGTTTGAGGTTGCTGTGAGCTGTGACACCATAGCACTCTACCCAGGATAACATAGTGAGACTCTGTCTCAAAAAAAAAAAAAAAAAAAACCCTTTAGATGTTCCTACCTTCCAGATGCACACATGTAGAACACAGAACAGGCCCAGGTGGGTAGATGCACATATATGCATATGCCTCATGCTTGCATGTGCACACACATGCACACAGCCATCACCCCAGATCTCTGCCTACCTTGGGTGAATTGCTCTCATTCACACACAGGGCAGACTGTGCAAGGGGGCTTAGCTGCAAGAATGTCTGCTCTGACTATCCCACAAATACACCTCTGTGCAGAGAGGCCTCAGCCCTGTATTCAATCCCCAAAGAACCCCTGACTGTTGAGAAAGACAGATGATTCAGACCCTTTCAGCCTGCCGAGCTAGGGCTGAGGCAGAGGAAGAGACCAAGCCACTGGAACCAATATGGGGAGCAACTCTCTTTGGGAGCGAGAGGCAAAGCTGATCAGAACGAGGGATTTTAGAACTGGGCTGTGAAAGATAAAAAGGAGTTCAGGGGGTGGGGAAGGCATTCATAGGCAGAAATAACTACACAGAGATAAAAGGTTGGAGACCAAAAAAAGCTTGATCTGTTTGGGTAACAGGAAATACCTGAGGTGCATTTATTGAACACCTACTGTTCTTCAGGCTCTATTCTAAGGACCTTATTGAAAACTGACCATGGGTTGGCCAGGAAGGGCTTATCTCAGTCTGGGCATCTCAGTCAGCTGCTCATGCCTGCAATCCCAGCACTTTGGGAGACTGAGGTGGGAAGATCTCTTGAGCACTGGAGTTTGAGACCAGCCTAGGCAACACAGTAAGACCCTGTCTCTACAAAAAAATTTAAAAACTAGCTGGGCAAGATGGTGTGCACCTGTAGTTCCATCTACTCAAGAGGCTGAGGGAGGGAGATGCTTGAGCCCAGGAGTTTGAGGTTATAGTGAGCTATGATGACGCCACTGCACTCCAGCCTGAGCGACAGAGTAAGGCATTTTCTCAAAAAAAGGGGGGGGTAGGTGGGTGGAGGGGGGACTATAGATGAAGTAGTGAGACTCAGAGAGGGCAAGAAACCTGCCAAAGGACACACAGCAGGTACGAGAAGGAGCGGGTTAGTGTCACACCATAGGAGCCAGGATTGCTAAGGTAGGAGGAAGTGGTCTTTTTGAGGAAGGGGTAGTAGTCGACCCTTCTGCCCACGACGACGACTGGTGTTCTTCACTCCACCCCACCCTTGCTCATTGCCAGGTGGCCTGGGACGAGGAGAAACAGAGGACGCTGGCCATGAAGACCCTTCGGGCACGATTTAAGAAGGCAGAGGTGAGTCTGTGACCACTGAGGTGCTGGCTAGCTGCCAACTTCAGACTCTTGTCTCCTGGGGCTCGCTGAATGTCCTCTGGGCCTTGGACCATCATCTCCTGACTCTTATCAGAGTCATCTCTTAGTTGTGTGATGTGATCAGGGCCCTCTCTGCTAACCACCCTTCCTGTCTACGCCTTTAGCCTAGCCACCTGCCTTCTCAGCCCTTCCTGCTTCCCCCTGCCCATGCTTCCATATGCACACCCTAAACAAGCTTTCCAGCCCCCACAACTTTGACCGCGCCATTCCCTCCATTTGGACCACCCTCTCCATGCATGGCTGCCTAGGAAACCCTCCCCACCCTCAGGATTTGCCCCAACACCACCTCCTCCAGTGGATCTCGGCTCTCCCCAGCCACAGTGAACACTTACTTCTGAGAACCCACTTTCTTCTGAGGACCCTGGCCTCTTGCTTTTGAATTCACTCAGGAAATATTTATTATGTCAGGTGCTGTTCTGAGCCCAGAGGAAGCAGAATGAATAGGGCAGACAAAAATCCTTGCCCTCATGGAGCTGATAGCCACGTGGAAGATGGATGCTAAACAAGATAAATAAATGGAAAAGTCTATTTTGTGCCCTGGGGACAAAGAAAGGAAAAGAAATCAGATCATCCAAGGCAGGGAAGATGGTTGCAGTTTTAAAAAGGGTGGTCAGGGGAGGCTTCCCAGAGAAGGTGATATTTGCGTGAAAGTCAGAAGAAGAGGCTGGGAGTTGTGGGTCTATCTACAGGAATTGCATTTCAGGTGGATGGAACAGCCAGTGCAAAGGCTCTGACGTACACTGATCTGGTTTTTCTTGTATCTTCCTTTTGATTTCTCACTGACAATGCAAGGAAACTCAGCCCTGAGAGGTTAATTCACTTTTCTGGGCCACAAAACAAGGGGCAAAGGAGAGATTCAAAGCCACACATGCCTGATTTCAGAGCCTGTAGTATTTTTAACATGTCGTATGGCCTCCTCATCCTGCATGCTCCTGAACAATCACAGCGTCTGCCTGGAGGTGGTGGCTCTGGGTTTGAATCTTTCCTCTGTCTATTCTGGGGGACACTGGGTAGGTCATGACTCCTTTGTGGCTTCTCTTAGTTGACCTGATTTTGCTTATTTTACTATTTTATTTCTTTATTTTAATGTTCCCATTTGTTATTTATTTTAATTTTATTTAAATCAAAAAAAATTTAAAGGCAAGGTTTTTCTCTGTTTCTCAAGCTGGAGTGTAGTAGTACAATCATAGCTCACTGTGACCTCAAACTCCTGGGCTCAAATTATCCTCCTGCTTCAGCTTCCCAAGTAGCTGGGACTACAGGGATGCCCCACCATTACCAGCTAACTTTTCTATCTTTTGTAAAGACAGGGGTCTTGCTATGTTGCCCAGGCTGATCTTGAACTCCTGACATCAAGTGATCCTTCTACTTTAACCTCCCAAAGCACTGGGATTGGTGTGAGCCACTGTGCTTAGCTAAAAAAGTTTTAATTTAACATCATTGAATTCCTTTTTATTTATTAATACTTCATTTGTTTGTTTTAGGACACTATAAAAAACTTACTATGTGCTTTGTAGTTCTCAGTTTTCTTAAAAATCACAATAATGTGGTGGCTCCTATGGCTCAGTTCATAGGGTGCTGGCCCCATGTACCAAGGGTGGCAGGTTTGAACCTGGTCCTGGCCAGCTAAAAGAGCAATGAGAATTGTGACAAAAAATAGTTGGGCATTGTGGCGGGTGCCCATAGTCCCAGCGACTTGGGAGGCTGAGGCAAGAGGATCACTTAAGCCCAAGAGTTTGAGGTTGCTGTGAGCTGTGACGCCATGGCTCTCTACTGAGGGTGACAAAATGAGACTCCGTCTCAAAAAAAAAAATCACAATTATGGTCTGAGGTAGGAGCTTTTATTATCCCCATTTTATAGATGAGGAAAAGAAACTCAGAGAGGTTAAGACATTTGTCCAAGATCACACAGCTGGGAAGTGATACACCTGCCTTCTCCCATGGTTGTGTTACTATGAAAATGACTGGCTTGTGGGTGGAAAGGGAGTGCATTGATTGGAGAGAGAGAGAGAAAGGTTCATTAACCTACAAAATGTGGCTTAGGTCAGCTTTTTTCATTGCGGAGTGATCCTTTTTGTTGTTGTTGTTTGCCCTGGTTGAGTGCTGTGGTATCATAGTTCACAGCAATCTCAAACTCCTGGGATCAAGTAATCCACTTGCCTCAACCTCCCAAGTAGCTGGGACTATAAGTGCCTGCCATGATGCCCGATTATTTTTAGAGACAAGGTCTCACTCTTTGCTCCTGACCTCAAGCAGTCCACCCACCTGGGCCTCCCAGAGTGCTAGGATTACAGGGGTGAGCTATTGTACCTGGCTGGAGTGATCCTAAATTTTTTCATCCTGTTGGGAATCAATTCCTCAATTACAGTTGACCCTTGAACAATGCAGGAGGTAGGGGCACTTATCCTCCACATAGTCAAAAATCTGGTTATAATTTCAGGCTCCCTCTAAACCTAACTACTAACAGCCTTCTATTGACTGGAAACCCTTACTGATCACATAAACAGTTGAACACATACTTGCATGTTATATGTGTGTGTGTATTATCTACTGTGTTCTTACAATAAAGTAAGCTGGGGAGAAGAAAATGTTATTAAAAAAAAAAAAAACAGGAGGAAGAGAACATAGATTTACTATTCATGAAGTAGAAGTGGGTTGTCCTAAAGATCTTTGTCCTCATCATTTTCACCCTGAGGCTGAGGAGGAGGAAGAAGAGGAGGGGTGGATTTTGCTGTCTGAGTATAGCAAAGGTGGAAGAAAATCTATGTCTGAGTGGACTCATGTAGCTCAAACCCATGTTGTTCAAGGGTCAATTGTACATTATTCACATTGCCCGCCCTCTCACCCCCAAGAATTCCTGGGAAGTAATAGCCAGTGGTAAACCACGCCATGTAATTGTTTAATTTCAAAAGCAAACATATTTAAATCAAACCCTTCTGAAAAGTGTGTGCAGCTTAAAAAAAGACACCACCTTTGGAACTTGGGTGTGTGTTGATATGTTTGCTATTGTGAGGTGGGGTAAGGGTTGCAAAGTCCAAATTTGGAAGGGGCAGGGCAGATGTTTAACCTCTAAAGGGTGTGAGGATCTCAGAGGGTTCGGGAACTGGGTTCAGAGCAGTCTGGGCTGGAGATGTCACAGCAGATGGGAGGGGTGTGTGTGTATGTATTAAGGGGGAGGTTGACATCCACCCCTCCCCTCCCAGGGCACCTAGCCACCTCCCCCCCCTTTACCTGCCCTTCTCGGGTTTCTGGCAGGCAGCTGGGAGTCAAGTTAAGCTTTTGTTCAGCAACCCCAAGGGAAGAAAGCAAATACCCTGTGACTGCTGATGCCCTGCCTCTTAGTCTCCCTGGGAACTTTCATTCCCTCCCTGTTAGGCAGCCACTGTATCTTTATATAGGACCTTTTCCCAGCCTGGGGGCTGCTTCCCGCTCCTTTTTTTGGCTCTAACTTGGGTTATTTCTTTAATGCACCAAATGATGGCACTGTTTGCCCAGAGCCCTCTTGGGCTGACTCTGGGTCTTAGTTTTTTTCATCCATAAAATAGGAGCTCTCTGGATTCCCAGTACCTCCTGGTCTTATTTCACTTTTCAGGAAAATTCTACAAGTGGGAAGATTGAGGTGTATAAAGATTCATAGATTCCAGGGCGGTGCCTGTGGCTCAAAGGAGTAGAGTATGGCCCGATATAATGGAGGTGGTGGGATCAAACCCTGCCCCCGGCCAAAACCTGAAACAATTAAAAAAAAAAAAAAAGATTCGTAAATTTCAATGCCTCAATACTTCCTGGAATGTCAGTCTCTCTCTCTGACATTTTTATTTTTGAGTTTCTATTTCTTTAATTCATTCAACACGTATATTGAGCACCTATGTGTGCCAGGCCCTGTTGAAGCGAGATCAGGATCAAGGTTCATCAACCCACACTTAGAAGAGTCCTGCCCTTGATATAATTCTCTGTTCTTGAAATCTTGGAATTCTTTTTTTTGAGACAGAGTCTCACTTTTTTGCTCTGAGTAGAGTGCTATGGCACCATAGCTCACAGCAACCTCAAACGCTTGGGTTTGAGCAATCCCCTTGCCTCAGCCTTCCAAGTAGCTGGGATTATAGGCAGCTGCCACGGCGCCTGGCTAGGTTTTCTATTTTTTTTTTTTTTT